CGGTGCCACCGCGGAGCACTGTGAGAGCCATCGCGCCGCGCTGTCCCCGCGCGTGGTGCTCGCTGCCTCCTCGTCCGCCCCCACCCTCCCCGTGCCGCACCGCAGAGCCGTGTCCCGGCCCTGTCTGCCGTTCCGGCATCGCCGTCTCGGGTCAGGGCATGGGAAGGTGATAAATCCACCCCCAGCGCCTGGGCAGGCACGCAGCACCCTGTGCTTAAGGTGAACCAAGCTGTGCAGATGGGCTCGAATGACTATGAAACACCACAGAGGTTCCCCCAAGGTGCCGTGAATGCTTCGTGCAACATTTGTTTCTGTTTGGATTACAGACTGTCTGTCTTCTCTCACCAGAAAAGCTGCCAGACTGGGAAGATCTCAACAGCAGAAGCTGCAGCACAGTCTCACACGTGTCGAGACGTTGGTGTGCAGACAGAACACAGCCAAGAGCCTGCCCAGGACTTCCAGCAAGAGGCCCAGGTGGATCACCCTGGGCTCCTGTCATTCCTTCAGAGAGTGGAGGATGCTGTGGTCAAAGAGCTGAACAAAAACTGGCACAGCCATGCCTTTGATGGCTTTGAAGTGAAGTGGACAGAGCAGAGTGATGCAGTAAGTGCTAAAGTTCAGCCCCTTGTCCTCACCCAAGCTGGTTGCAGTGGCTCTGACTCATTAGTTCTATTCCTTGCTGCTCTGATTGTTCTTGCCAGGTTCTAATAATTAAACATCATGAGCTGAGTTGTTTTGTTTTTTTTTCTCTCAGCTTTCTTTCTTGTTTGGTAACACTCTTCTTCCTGCCAGTGACTGAGCTGCAGCAGCAGTGTGAGAAGGAAGCCTGCAGTCAGTGTAGGCTTCTCTGCAGCCCCTTTGGAGCACACCAGACTAGCAGGGATCGAGGAACGGTTGCAGTCAGTGATTTGGCAGCTCTTCCTACTTAGATTATATTTGTTTAGTGCTCAGGAATGGAAACAATTTGTCTCAGTCAGTGCATGTTGGGACTGTCACTCCCAAACCGAGTGCCAGACTCACACCTGGGGCTGCTTAGGCACAGCCTCCCAGAGCTCTGCAGCCTCTGAGGGGTAATCATTGGGTGGCAGTTGTTTTGGTAGAATCCTGTTGGGTTTTTTTTGTTTCCCCCAGTAGGAATTCAAGAACCTTTTCCCCTCTCTCTCTGTGCCCCTTTGCCAGTGGGAAGACCAGGCTGTAACCACGGGATCACATCAGGGCTGTGCACAGAGCTCATTTCTCTGTGTGCAGAGACTGTTGCTTCAGTGCTCGGGTTTGATCTCTCCCAGGTGCTGTGTTTGCATACATTGTCATACCCTGAGGCTCAGGCTCAAAACCTGCAGGTTACCAGTGTCTCATGGAATGCCACAGGATCCGTCGTCGCGTGTTCCTACGGCCGGTGAGTATCCAGAGGGATTGGGAGTGCAGCTGAGCCTGAGGTGATGTCTCAGGCTGACCTGAGGTCTAGAGATGTTTGCTTTCTCTCCAGGAAAAAACTGACATACATACATTTTATATATATATATATACACACGCACCTTAGGCAAGTTGAATAATTCATATTCAAAGAAACAAAATCTCAGGACACTCTTCAATTGAGTCTCCTATTTATTCTGCCTTCCCTCCTGCCCCAAAAATGGGTACATGGTCTTACTGAGTTGTTTCTGGATGGATTCTGTTTGGAGAGAAAATGTAAAGACCAGCTGACTTGCAAATATCTGTAGGTGAGGGTTGGAATAATGTGCTTATCTTCACTGAGATCAAGGTGTTTGATGTGGTCTCTGGGCACCCTGGGTGAACCTGGCACCCATCTGTGTGTGGGCACAGAGCCACAGACATGTACTGACACACATTTAAGGGTTTCTGAAATGAGGTTGGACAAAACACTCATCCAATGATGTCTGTAGCAGCCGCTCCTTCCTGAGCCCTACTGCTCCCCCTTGCTCTTTTTTTCATTCTGCTTCCATTTCCTTAGCATAAAAGCCCCAGCAAAAAGGGCATCCTTGAGGGAAGGTGTAGGG